TCAATACAAAGCAAGATTATTCTAATATAATTCTTATTTTCAATTCTTATTACAAGAATTTCTAAATTCTTCCGCACCAAAACATTACTAGTATTCAATACATAAGTAGCATCAAATCTACTCATTATTTTTGTTTTTGAGAGTTTGAATGCCTCTAGAGGAATTATTGCAATCTTATAATACAAATTAACATGCATTTTAGAGCAATCAAAGGCTTACATATATACATAAGTAGCATTAAATGTCCCCTTGTGATAAATTTTATTTGCTAAAGGGTTGGACAGAAATCTTGAATTCAACCGAGCAAATTAGTTTTGTTCTTTTCGAGTTAAATTGGATAATTGGTATTAAAACCGAGAATTAATGGGATCGGTTTGGTCATATATCTAGAATTGAACCTAGCAATTTTTATGATAATTGAACCAAGCAATAGATAATTAAATGGATGTCAAGTATTAGTAATACCATAAAAAATGTTTTATGGTAACAAAATTATTTAAACGACATACTCATTAATGTATATTCATTAGTTCGTGTGAAAAAGATTATTTGAAAAGTGATTGTTTTGGAGAATACGTGGTTAAAAAATTATTGTAATTAAAAAACGAGTGGATTTTTCGAATAATCACTTTCAAATCCAAAATATGTAAGAAGGTTCATACAGCACCCACCACTTCCAACACCAATTCCCATCTTCTTGTCCCAAAACATGACTCTCTTTTCTTGTACTTTTAATTTTTTGTAAAATTAAAGTTAAGAATAAAATTGGGGTTTTAATAAAATGTTGACTTTTTAATTAAATCGATGGTAAGATTGTCCATAATAACTTGAGTGTTAAGTGCTACCAAAATTAAAGATTGAGGATGTAAATATTACTTTTTAATTGTTGAGGACCAAAGTGCAAAATGTCGACTTTGACTGAATATGGTACCCTCTTTCCACCTTTATTACACATATATAGATGCATAGTTTTCTCATATGTTTGTAAAGGCCAGGATAAGATTGATTTTTCAATGAAATGTTGACTTCTTGATTAAAGCAATGGTAAAATCATCTTTTAGGGACCCAAGTGCTACCAA